TTTGTTGATTATTGAATTGGTTATATCCCAATTGGGCTAGTAGTGCATTGAAAGCTTTCATTCTTGATAAAGGTGGATAACAACCCCTTTTCATTGAGTAGCCGGGATTCTTGCCTCATTAAGCAGTGAACTTCTCGCGCCGAAAGGTGGAGGGCCCAAACTCTAGGTTAATAATTGAATTGAAAAAAAAAAAAGAAAAAAAAAAAAAAGAAAAAGAAGAAGAAGTTGCAAAAAGCAATAAAAGTGAGGACTTCTCCCAAAAGGTGAGAAGTGGGAAATGATTAGATGGTTGTTGTCTTGATTTGTAACCTAGTTGATTTGAGTTTGTAAGTCCGTAGGGGTGTCTTAACACCTAATGCCCTAAAGCCATTTGGTTTGGGAGTCATTGACCTAAAACTCGCTACATGAATCTTCTAGAAAGCTTAAGAGATCAACACATTGCACAATACTTCCATCTTTGATCCTCAATAAAAAAAAAAAAAAAAAAAATAGAGTGAAAAGAATAAGCGCACCTAGAACAATAAAGCTTTAATAAAAGGTCCACTCTCTTATCTTGATGATCGGTACTAGATTTGTGTGCTAGTTTGAGGGTAAGGATGTGATTACTTCTCTAGTTGGCTAAGATAGCAACACACTTGATGCCGGACCTCTCACCTGGATTCTAGACTTGTTTCGATTTTCATGATCATTTTCTTGATATGTGGAGGACCATACTTGCTTGCTTGATATTGAAATTTTGGGAGAATGCTTGGAAATGGTTGAAAAATTGCATACTTGAGGTAGTTTTCTCCCAATGCTTGTTTGCAATATTGGTGCCTCTTTTGAAAGAATGAGCTTAATGTTTGTGGGTACCATTTCTGGAAACCCTCACGAGACTTTACTCGTCCACTAGGGGTAACCTAGGGGTTTAAAAGGCTTGTTACATATGCTAAATGCAATCGTGTTCCCTACGAAAGTGGCGCTATCATTTTACTTGCTTTCCAGTTTATACTTGTTTAGTTGTTCATTTCATTCCTTTACTTCTTAGTTCATTGCTAGGGACTAGCAATATTTAAGTTTGGGGGTGTGATGAGTACTGAAAAGTGCGCATTTAAACCCGTTAAGCTTAAGCATTCTAGTACCTTTATCTATCTTACTTTGCCGTTTTAGACTTATTACGTGTTATTTATATTTTCAGGCACTAATCCCAAAATTGAGCTAACTCAGCCAAATAAGAGCTTAATTGAAGCAATCCTGAGATAAACTAAAGGAGGGAGCAAAGTGGAGAAAGAAAGGAGCAAAAAGGAATCAAAGTTGTGCAGCTGAAAAGTTCGATCGATCCAACTTAAAGTTCGATCGATCGAACATCTATGATCTATCACAGTACTTCTCGATAGATCCAACCTTGGCCCTTGCTGAAATTCCAAGTTCGATCGATCCAACATCACCTTCGATCGATCGAACCCTATTTTGTCCTATTCAAATGATTGATCTTATTCACAGCTGTACGCCTACCAACCACTTTTGTCCTTTTCCCCATAAATATCTTTGAAATATCTCAGCCTTATCCTTATCCGGAGGAGTCAGACCACTTCGATCGATCCAAGATGCAGTTCGATCGATCCAAGTTAAGGTTCGATCGATCGAACTTCCTCCAGCGAGAAAAAGTTAAAGTCCAGCTCATTTATTCCGTCCTTCACCCAATCATTGGAGAATATGCCTTGCACGACCACAGCTCATCATATGGTGTATTTGACCTATCTATATAAGGAATATGATACACTTTTTTTGGAGGAGAGTCTAGAGTCTCTTGTGACACATTGAAAATCATCTTGGAGGCTATTCTTGGAGAGGAAGAATGGAGGAAGCTAGAGCAACCATTGGAGGAGATCTTCACCAACTATGAGCAGCCATGGAGTTAGCCCTTGAGGGTTGGATCATCACTACCATGAGTGGCTAGACATCTTCTTGGGGCTAGAGTTAGCCCCAAACATGCTTTCTTTACCTAATCTTGTGTAATTTTGAGGGATTTGTGTTGTAATGCATATTTTGATTCTTGAACTTATGAAGACCTTGATTATTCATTGAGTTCTATGGATTAATGCTTCCAATTGATCATTTTCTCTATCTATATGTCTATGTATGCTAGAGTAAATGCTCACCTTTAGATTTAATGTTATTGATGCATGTCTATGTGTATTAATGCCTTTAATCTTGAGATTGCCAAAATATGAAGTTCTTAATGTAATGCTCTTATTATGTCTCTAGATGGTTCATACTTATTCCTTGATGGATTGTGTTTCTCTTTTAAGCAGTGTAGTGTTAGTTGGGGAAACAATTCATGCTTGTTCTTTGATGTTCCATGCTTTTGAATGCAAGAAGCATATGCTCTAATATTGTGGTGTAGTGGAATTTTGAGCTTAATGAAGGATTAATGATTAGTTATGATATGTTGTATCTTTCACATGTGTTTAGACAATTTATTCCTCTCCCAATAGATATTTTGTACCTCTCACATGATGATTAGATAATGCATGTTTAACTAAGTCATCCTTATGGATTGCTTGGACTATGAGCTTAATGAAAGGTTCAATGACTTGAATTGTTATTTTGTTATCTTCACATGATGTTTAGACAATATATTCCTCTACCAATAGATGTATTGTGGCCTTACACGTGTTGATTGAGACAATTTGCACTTGTTGAGTCACCCTTACCAATTGAATGTCTTTTACACACACAACATTGTTGCAACACATTCATTTCCCTCATTAATCACTTGATTATGGTTTGGAATAGTATTGTTTGGTGGTGATCTCTACACCCCAAGACCTTTCCTTCTTCCTTACTCTTTATCTTATTGCATTGCTTTATTATAGTTTAGCTCATTTAGTATAATCAACCAATCAATCAACAATTGTGTGATCACTCGACCTACTAACCATAATTACCATAGTCTCACGATTCGATACACCATCAAATCCCTTGGGACGATCCCTACTCGCCCTATCTATATTTTATATAGAGAAAGGTAGTAGTGGCTTTTTATAAATGTAAAACTTGGCCACCTCCTAAACACACACAACTCTCAAGCTTTGTTGGTTGTGGCGACTCCATCAAGGAAACCAACAACAACCTACGTCGGCCACCTATGTAAATTGCAACCCTAAATTCACGTAGAGAACAGAAAACTAAATTCCCTTAAATTTAAATTTTCATTAAATAAAATTGATTAAACAATTAAATAAACACAATTAAATAAATAAATAAAATTATATAAACAGTTACCAAAAACATATTAAGTAACATGACTGATTAAACAAATAAACCATTAAGTAATTAATTAAACCAAATAATGCACATAAAACCAATTTAAACAAATGAAAAACAATAAAATAAATAAAAAATGCGATAAAGACAATAAAATAAATAAAAATGCAATACAATAAATATTAAAAATACTGAGACTATCCTTTTTAAAATTAGGGTTATTACAATCATCCAACCTCTCACCTGGCCTATATAACAAAGTGTTCCAAGGCCAAGAGAGGTAGAGTAAAAAAAGGGAAAAGTAAATAAGCTTTCATGCTTTCTCCATACACCTTTATGAAGGGAGTCAATGGTGTACTATTACACTGCCATCTTCACCCTCTCTCTCGAGTTTGCCTGTGCTTCTACCTCTCTCAGTCCACCTCAGATTCTATTATGTTGTTTGAATCACTCAGATTTGTGTATGATATCACCATTTATATGTATTTTATTGAGTTACGAAAACCAACCCCCACAAAAGTAACAGTCTTCCAGAAATGGGAAGTTAAGTTGGGTAGTGTGCTGCATTGATTCAAGTTGTTGGATTTAATCTACCTCCATGGCTTCAAGCATGTGTCAGCGGCAGCTCGATCATTGAGTTGTCTAGTTTCAAGTAGTTTGTTGGGTCTTTTGATAGTCTGGTGTTGAATTTTGGTTTAGTTGTGTGTTGGTTTGGTTCAGTACTCGGTAATTAATTAATTAGCTGGTTTAGTTTGGTGTACATTTTCCTTGTAAAATTACCCTGCTTATCAAAAACCAAAAATAAAAGGAGAACCATGTTGTGCATTAAGGGAACTCATCATTTGGAATGACCGAGCAATAAATCCATAGAGCCTGTTCAACACCATTATTTCAAAGTTTAACACAACTTTTTTTAGATCAAAATAAATTCAATAATTGTATTGAAGCACGATTTGATGCGCTGATGATACAACATGCCACAGTAGGATAAAACGTTCTGAACAGAATTTGAGCTCGTCTTGTCTCTGTCTCATATTTTTTGTTACCGTGTTTATCACGGAGGAATGCTGAAGGGTTGTGTTTGGCTTTTTGGAAGGAGATTGGATTGACTGGTCGTTCAAGCATGAGAGAGAGAGAGAGTCATAAGAAATATTATGATGGGCAAATTATTGGACTCCCGTAAGTTTGGCCAAACTCTTTTTCATATTAAACTTTAAAAAAATATATGGGATAACCTCACGAGTGGTCCCAATAATAATTGACCCCGGCTTCTCTTTCTCCACAAATCATTTAGCTAACCCAAGAGACTAATTTTTGCGACCTTTTTAAGGAGTATTTGTGAGTTTGGGAAGTGGACATTTAATTTAAGGATAGAAGGGAGTAATTAATTACAAATTCTCATCAATGGCTTTGTGGCTCAGTGACATGTTTTCAATCTTTCGAAGTGGTGGTGAGGGTTTGAATCTCTAGAGTAGCAAAGTGGTGTGTGTAAATTTTTTGTCAAAACCAAAAAAAAAATTAAATTGTCTATATCATATACCGAGTACTATTATATACTATATAAAAACTATTTAAAAATCTTGCACTGACTGGAAGGTGTTAGCCTCAAATTTATTGTGTCGGTTGGTCTGATTAGCTGGTTTAGTTTGGTTTTTGTGTTTGTTCTTTTTCAGTTGGTATATTCTTCATCGCTTATTGTTTGGTGTACATTTTCTCATTTACCTATAACATTAGCTTGCTTATTAATATGTATATATATACCGCTTGAGAATATATATACCGCATAATCCTTTCTCCTTTCGGTTCACTCCATCAAGCGCATATAACCATGAAGGATGCCATAGTTCTATATCCTTCTCCGGCCATGGGACACCTGATCTCCATGGTGGAGCTAGGAAAGCTTATACTCCGCAACCACCCTTCCTTCTCCATCAAAATCCTCATCACCCACCCACCTTACAACACTGGCTCCACCACTCCTTACATCAACCGCATATCCGCCACCACTCCCATCACCTTCCACCACCTCCCCGCCGTCTCTCTCCCTCTCCAAACCTCCTCTCCTAACCACGAAACTCTGGCTTTCGATTTCCTCACCCTCAACAACCCTAATGTCCACCAAGCCCTTCTCTCCATCTCCCAGACTCACACTGTCCATGCCCTTATCATAGACATGTTTTGTACCCCAGCTATGTCTGTTGCAGCAGACCTCAATATCCCAGCTTACTATTTCTACACTTCCGGTGCCTATTGCCTTGCTGTCTTCCTTTTTATGCCCACAATCCATCAAAACACAACCAAGAGTTTCAAAGATCTCAAAAACACTTATCTTGACATCCCAGGTGTGCCACCATTGCTAGCCACTGACATGCCAAAGCCGCTACTCGATCGCGCTGACAAGTCCTATGAAGGCTTCATGGATGCATCTATCCACTTGCCAAAAGCAGCTGGAATCATTATTAACACATTTGAATCACTTGAACCGAGAGTTCTCAAAGTAATATCACAAGGCCTTTGTGTCCCTGGTGACCTTACACCACCAATCTATTGCATTGGACCCTTGATTGCAACCCATGATGATAAACCTGGTGGGGATGGTGGCAGACATGAGTGTTTGATTTGGCTCGACTCACAACCGAGTCGAAGCGTTGTGTTTCTTTGTTTTGGTAGCTTGGGTTTGTTTTCAGAAGAGCAGCTGAAGGAGATTGCAATTGGGTTGGAGAGGAGTGGACATAGGTTTTTGTGGGTGGTGCGCAGTCCACCTTCGGAGGACCACAGCAAGCGTTTCTTGGCACCGCCCGAGCCGGATTTGGACTCCTTACTTCCTAATGGCTTCTTGGAGAGGACGAGAGAGAGGGGACTAGTAGTGAAGCAATGGGCTCCCCAGGTGGATGTGCTGAGTCATGACTCGGTGGGCGGGTTCGTGACTCACTGCGGGTGGAACTCGGTGTTGGAAGCTGTGTCCGCGGGACAACCGATGTTGGCGTGGCCGCTTTATGCGGAGCAGAGGATGAACAGGGTGGTGTTGGTGGAGGAAATGAAGCTGGCCTTGCCGATGACTGAGTCGGAGGAGGACGGGTTTGTGAGTGCGGCCGAGGTGGAAAAGCGAGTCAGGGAGTTGATAGACTCGGAGGAAGGGAAGTTAATAAGGGACCAAGCTGAGGCAAAGAGAGAGGAGGCAAGGGCTGCAATGAGTGAAGGCGGATCCTCACGTGTTGCATTGGCTGAGTTGGTTCGGAAATGGAAGGCGGTATGAGTTGAGTCACACCTAGTCTTCACTTGGTTTGGTTGACCCATTAGAACTAATATAGCTCATTTGATGCTATGCGTGCTCTATGTTAATATGTTGATAATTAACTTGAAGCATATTTGAAGGACCAATTTGAACACAATAAAAAATTAGATCATCATATGAATCTCAGCCTACTGAGATTTTGTGATTGCATAATGCTTGGCTCGTTGGACATGTGCTGTCTATCAGTCTAGTATTTTGTATAGAATCCAACGTTTGAAAGTGTTTCTTACAACTTTCTATCTGTTTTTAGCACCTAACAATGTATGACATTCCTTTTTGTCTTATGTTTGTTAATTTGTACTTCCTTCGTCCCTTATTAGTAATTTATTTTTTTCTTTTACATGTCTCAAATTAGTTGTTCTTTTTTAAAAGTTAAAACATCTTTTTTTATATTTTTATCATTGTCTTTTATCTTTTTAAAAAATTTCAAACTTTGTAATTATATATATTTAAATTAAAAAGAATAATTTGGTAATTTTAAAAAGGGACAATGCATTAATTGTATATTTCTTTAAAAAGTTATAAAACAAAAAATGGACAACTAATAAAGAACAGTAATAGTAGTTCACTTTGACTACGGATTCAATAAAGCCCATTGAATAAGCTCTCACCTTGTACTATCTTACATTACATTTAATATTACTTGTATAGAATGACATGTTTCACTAAATTACCAGTACTGTCTTCTACATCATTCTCATCACAGAGCATATTTGGTGACTAGAACCATTAGATTAAATGGTTTTACATGCATTGGATTTGAATGGACCTCCTATTAAACCATCTGATGGTTGTTAAATTTTTTTATTTTGTAAGTAATAGGCTTAGATGGTTTTACATGCATTGGATTTGAATGGACCTCCTATTAAACCATCTAATGGTTGTTAAATTTTTTTATTTTGTAAGTAATAGGCTTGAGGTTTCAGTTAGTATAGCACAATCCTCTTCTTTTTGGGGATGGTTTTCGGTGAATTGTGCACCGGACATATCATAGTAGACCGTACATAACATGTGCGAAAATGACCGACTCTGAAAACCTGGTGTACCGAACAAACAGGATATATTCTTTTAGCCTAGTGGTGGTTTTAGCGTCACTCTGATTGGCTGCAGACGTGTAAGGATTGTTTTTTATATGTTCATGGATTCAGTGGTTTTTTGTCACGGGACTAAAACTACTTTAGTAATTTATATCCTATAGTAGCATTGTCACAAGGGGGTCCAGTGGGACCTTATTATTAATTTGATTTTGTACATATAAGTTTGAGTATTTATAAAAATAGCTCTGGAAAAGTATTTTGACAAGATTTGTAGTGGGGCAAGGGCTCCATTGTTCCGTAAAATATTTTTTTATTTTTAATTTTTAACAAAAATTTAAGTCAAAATTGAGATCCAAACAGAGAATATAATAATTTGTGACAACAAAACACCAAAAATTTTAAGTACATTCAAAATGTAGCTTTTTATTTTTATTTTTTATACACAGCAAACGTAGCATTGCAAAGCTTATAATAATAGAAACAAGAAAAACAAGCTTTCAAGAAATAACACGGCATTCCGATTTTGTCCCCACAAATTTATCTTTAATTCCCCATATTAGCCTTGTTTGTATATAAAATTACAAACCCAATCTTCTACCGATTTCTCAACGAGTCTCTGCAACGCATCGTTGCTCAGGAGAGAAGCCGACGGAAAGATGAAACGGTCGGCGACTGAGGAGCCGAGAAGGATCGACGGCAAGGGATGCTGACGAACTAGAGAGAATATCTCCCTCTCTTTTTAACGCTTCACTTTCTTCTTGCAGAGGGATACCGTTATTGGCATAAAAGCTAGGGTTTTTGTTGAAACACTAAACAAACTACATGGTAACTTGAACAAATTGTCATGCTTCGACTTCAGAATTTTAGCTCAATTTTTTCTATTCTTTCTTGTCATATTATGTTCTCAGTGATTTACACTTTTTAGTGAATGCTTAAAATTTCTAAAACTCAGGTTTGATCTATTTAGGCATAGTTTGTTCAAGTAGATTGCTTCAAGAATGGATCTGAACTTTCAGGTAAGCAAATTATTCTCCTTTTTATTCTTTAAATTTTACTTGATATAGAGCGGGGTCCTTTTTCCTTTTGATGGTTTTCTATGCATGATCTTTTGGAATTAGGAAGCTCCTCCAAACGCTAGGTAAAGAAATGAATCACAAAGGGATATATTGACTCTATAAAGGACATGTAGAATGGATGTGTGACTACGGTTAGCACGGCACTAAATTGGAGGTTTGTATGAAAACTCTAGAATTAAAAGGGTCCAAGATAAGTAGGAATAAAACAAAATACATGTAGTGTAACTTTAGTAAATCTAGATATACAGTTCGAGATGTGGTGAAGATTGAGGGTTGAGGGTCATGAGGCACAAAAACGAATATTTCCGTTATTTACGTTTAATTATTCATAATGAAGGAGGAATTGGTGATGATGTTAATCATAAAATACAGACAGGATGAGATAAATAAAGGAGTGCATCTAGTATTTTAAGAAATCGGCGTATCCCTCTAAGATTATAAAGAAAATTCTTTAATACAACAACTATTAGATAGCATGTTCTTTATGGAATAGAATGTTAGGCAACTAAGAAATAATACATGCATAAAGTAAGTGCTTTCAATGCGAATTTAGAGATGGATGCGCGAGAAGACAAGAAATGATAGAATTAGAAATACCAACGGGCCAGTTCCTAGCGGTATCGGCCTCTTATTTTCCAAAAGAAAGTCAGGGGTTCAAGTCTCAGAAGAGACGTGTGTGTGTGAGTACCAATTAAAAAAAAAAAAAATTAGAAATGAACACATTTATGAGATAGTTGGAGTAACATCAATCGGAGATAAAATGAGAAGACATTGATTAAGATGACTTGGTTTTGTGCAAAGAAGATCGGAGTAACATAGACCACAATGAGGGTAATGTCAAGGGAAGGGAAGACCAGAATTAACATGAGTAGACTTGATAAGGATATGATAAGATGTGATTTAACTGATGTTATGACAATGGATATAGCAAGATGAGAAAATAAGATTCATGTAGCCGTCCCAAGTAATTGGGAAAAAGGGTTCGTCGAATTGAGTTGTTTCTTGGCGTATACTGGAGTTCGTTTGGTTAACCGGAAATTGATGATGGAAAGTGAAAGGAAAAGAAAGTAAAGTAAAAAAAAATGAAAATTATGTTTCTATCATGCATTTGGTTAGCATGATTTTTTTGTAAAAAATTTGTGGGAAAAGAAAGTGAAAAGAAAATGATTTATATACCAAAATTATAAATAATTGTTTTATGAATAAAAATATATGTGCCTGCATATATATATATACATATATATGTATATATATAGTCCTAATTTAAAAAGTCAGAAAATTGTAACTTAATTAGGAGTCTTAATTTAAAGAGTTACAAAGTTGTAATATAAGTAGGAGTCTTAATTTATCAAAAAGAAGTCACTTTGAGTCTAAAAAGAAGGAAGAGAAATAACTACCGAGGGTATAATTGGAAACGAATACATGATGATACAACTTTCACGCGAAACTGAAATTTTCGCGTGTTTTATAGAGAAAACATTTTAAGGAAAATCAACCAGTTGCAGGAATATTACTTTTCTGAAAATTTTTCCTTTCACGCTAACCAAACTACCAAATAATTTAAAATTTTTCCGTTTCTTTTTCTTTCTAACTAGTTGACGCTAACCAAACTAACCCCAAGTGGAGAGTACAAGCCATGTTAGTGTTAAGACATTATTGAGTGGTTCCATGATCATGAACTCGTCTCATTCTTTATTACGATTGTCACATAGATAAAAAGTTTTAAATCTATGCATGATCTTCTACTCTGTTTTTCTTTTCTTTTTTATTTTATTTTAATGTCATGATCTTTTGTGTACACACATGCGTTATGGTATATATTTGCACTGGTGGTCTGACAATACTTTTGGATAGATTAGGAGCAGAAGTATGTTTTGTCATTATTAGTTGAGTTTTTGAAGTGGAGTCCTTGTAAATCTTGTTATGCTTTAGTATATTTTGTAATTACTTGACGTTCTATCAACATGGAAAAAGCACATATACTATTTTATATTTTATGTTCTTTCTTATCTTTTTTAATACTATATATTCATTTTGTCACTGGGTCTAAATCACATTTCTATATATAGAGCATATCGTCGTTTTGGCTTGATTTGGATATCACAACAGCTCTAGAAGTTCAGGAAACAGTGTTAATTTAAGTTCGTGAAATTGAATAGGAAGAGCACTTGTAGCCATTTGGGGTTCACTTGTGGCAATTTGGTTGTCAATGTTAGAAATTTTCTATTTATCTATTCTTAGTGGGATTACTTATGGTACTGAATAGGAGCAAGATTATGCTTTTAGATATGGTATATGATGAGTTAGAAGATTTTGAAATTGAGGGAAGGAGTGCATTGGGCCTGTTAATTTCTTGTTTCTCTTGGAGGAGGGGTTATATCTAGCATAAACAAGCATTTTGTGTAAGTAACACCTTATTGGACCCTAAATTTTGGAACGAATGGCCTACGTTGTTTTTAACGTTCAAATTGGGTGGCCTAAATCCTGATTGCTTGCACAGATAGTGGGCTTGGTCAACTGAATTCCTTAGGTTCCAACAACAGAGTGGTTACTACGAGTTAGAAATTTATAACTTAGATCTATTATCTGAGAGCTGATCTGAAGCAAACCAAACTTCTTGGTTGGTTTGACTGTGAATTCGACCATTCCAATTTGTCACATTATGGATTTTAGAAGAAAAACTAATCAGGGTGCTAGCAATTAAAGTTATTTCCATGGAGAATGTATATTGATACAATTATTAAAGGGTATGGATAAATAGCATTGTTTACAAACAATAAGTTGATCGAGTTTTCTGAGGAGTCATCCTATATATTGAGTGTCTAAAAAAATTGGCCAATAACTGTACAAAATACAAAAATTGGTAGGTTTAGGTCCAATGTAAGCATTCATAAGTCTATATGGAGAGGCAGTTTGGATTCTAACTTAGGTTTTTTTTTTTTTTTTTTTGGATCGTGTAAATGTAAGGCAAAAAAATACAAAGAAGCCGTTAATTTCTTTTTATAAAATCATTAGGTCCTATTACTAAATTAAAATATAGGAGGTTTATTCATTGATAGGACTCTATGGTCCTATAAAATTAAAAGGCTTCTATGTTATTTTCCCTAAAATTATGTATATTGGTTCGGTTTGAAATTTTGAATCTGGAGGCTGTTTAGGAGGATCAAGGGTAGAACCTATGAATGTATAGCTCCAGAATATTTATTTGATTCTTTGTATGTACTGGATTGCAGCCTTTGCAGGTTTATTTGTAATTAACTATTCTTTAAAATCTTCATATCTATTCTTTTTAATCTTTTCACATGGAGTTCTTTACTGGACTGTATAAAATCTTTTGGAATACTTATGCTTAAGTTTGAGACTTTCTGCTCTTGTTTATGGTCATTTTATTCTCTCAATTTTTATCCTGTTTTCCTGTTGCATACACTCATATAGCCTTTGAATCTTGTTTTCTTTTGGTTATATTTTGGCATTTTTCAAGTTGAAATTTTAACTTGTTATATATCAGTTTCTTGGTTGGTGATTAATCTATCCGCATTTCATGACCAGAGGCTGTTGCCGATGCAAACAAAGCAATTAAGTTGGATCCTTCAATGCCTAAAGATATTTGCGCAATGGGTGGCATTTCTGTACGTACTAGATAAAGCATTTCGAAGACACAACTTTTGGAGTCAGTATATTGTTGTCCTCCATAAAACTTTGCATGCAATTGCTGGGTTCTTGTTTGAATTTCAGACCACTATAATTAATTTGTATATGTGTGTGTGTTTTTCTAATATTTGACACAACTTTTGGTGTCAGTATATTGCTTTCCTCCATAAGTATTTGCATGCAATTGCTGGGTTCTTGTTTGAATTTCAAATACCTATACGTAATTTGTGTGTATATATGTGTGTGTGTGTTAACCATGTATGGGGTTTGCTTTATTTTCTGGGGACTTGCATGGAGATCTTTGTAGTGTATATGATACATTGGCTGCATGATATTGAGGAGTTCAATTTATTTCTCTATGCATCGTAAAAATTCATTTGCTTAAAAGAGTCTCCTGGATGGTATATACCAGTTCTCGACTGTGATTTGGTTGAACAAAGTAATACTCTTCCAGAAATGGAAAGTTAAGTTGGGTAGTGTGCTGCATTGATTTAAGTGTTGGATTTAATCTACCTCCATGGCTTCAAGCATGTGTCAGCAGCATCTCATTGAGTTGTTTGGTTTCAAATAGGTTGCTGTGTCTTTTGATAGTCTGGTGTTGAATTTTGGTTTAGTTGTTTTGTTAGTTGTGTGTTGGTTTGGTTCAGTACTTGGTAATTAATTAGCTGGTTTAGTTTGGTGTACATTTTCCTTGTAAAATTACACTGCTTATCAAAAACCAAAAATAAGAGAGAGAGAGAGAGAGAGAGAGAGAGGAGGGGGGGGGGGGGGGGGGGGGGGGGGGGGGGGGAGAGTGGGGTGTGTGTGGAGAGATTGGCATAGTTCTTTTTCTCCGGCTATTGGCCACCTGATCTCCATGGTGGAGCTGGGAAAGCTTATATACTCAGCCACCACCCTTCCTTCTCCATCCAAATCCTCATTGCAACCCCACCTTACAACACTGGCTCCACCACTCCTTACATCAACCATGTATCTGCTACCACTCCCATTACCTTCCACCACCTCGATCCTCACCATTTTCCTCCTCTCTCTCACCTTTGATTTCCCCTGCCTCAACAACCCTCATGTCCGCCAAGAACTCCTATCCATCTCCCACAATTGTACTGTCCATGCCCTTATCATACGCTACTTTTATACACTAGCTATGTCTGTTGTAGCAGACCTCAAAGTCCCTGCTTACTATTTCTTCACTGCTGGCGCCTATGGCCTTGCTGCCTTTCTTTCTCAGCCCACAATCCGCCAAAACACAACCAAAAGTTTCAAAGATCTCAAGAACACCTATCTTGACATCCCTGGTGGTGGCACACCAATACTAGCCAATGACATGCCAAAGCCCTTATTGGATCGAACTGACAAGTCCCGTGAAGGTTTTCTAAATACAGCTATCCACATGCCAAAATCAGCAGGAACCATTGTTTACACATTTCAATCACTTGACTCAAGTAATCAAAACAATATCAGAGTGCCTTTGTGTTCCTGATGGAGCTACACCACCGAGTTATTGCATAGCACTGTTGATTGCAACCCATAACTGAACTAGTGGGAATGGTGGCAAGCATGAGTGTTTGATGTGGCTCAACTCGCAACTGAGTCGAGCATTGTGTTTCTTGGTTTTGGTAGCTTAGGTTTGCTTTCAAAAGAGCAGCCGAAGGAGATTGCAATTGGGCTGGAGAGGAGTGGACATAGGTTCACTTGGGTGGTGTGTAGTCCGCCTTCCGAGGACAGCATCAGGCGTTTCTTGGCACCACCCAAACCGGATTTGGACTCGTTACTTCCTGATGGCTTCTTGGAGAGGACAAGAGTGAGGGGACTAGTTGTGAAGTCATGGGCTCCCCAGGTGGCTGTGCTGAGTCATGATCGGTGGGCGGGTTTGTGACTCATGGCGGGTGGAACTCGGTGTTGTGTGCAGGACAACCAATGTTGGTGTGATAATTTATGCAGAGCAGAGGATCAATAAGGTGGTGTTGGTGGAGGAACTGAAGCTGGCCTTGCCAATTACCGTTGGCTGAAGGGTTTGTGAGTGCGACCGAGGTGGAAAAGCGAGTCAGGGAGTTGATGGACTCAGAGTAAGGGAGGTTGTTCAGGGACCAAGCTGAGGCGAAGAGAGCAGAGACGAGGGCTGCAATGAGTGAAGGCGGGTCCTTAGGTGTTGCATTGGATGAGTTGGTTCGGAACTGGAAGGGCGGTATGAGTTGAGTCACACCTGGTCTTCACTCGGGTTGGTTGACCCAGTAAACCTAACGGCTCATTTGATTCTATGTGCAATTGGATGCTCTATATTATAATTGATCATTAGCTTTAAGCATATTTGAAGCTAATGATGCATTAAAATATAATAATCAAATTATCTCGTCATCTTAATCTCAAGTAGTATGAGATTTTGTGATCCTATGATGTTTGGTTGCATGAGTGGTTCGTCGTAAATGTGCTCTCTCTCTGAGTCTCTGTCATTTTATAGTTGTCTCTTCACTACTCATCTGTTCTTCGTTTGGTTTTTTAACATTCTATGGCCATCCTTTGTTTTAGGTTTGTTAATTTGTACCTTTTATTTTCTTATTTTTATAAGCAGTTTGTACCGTCTTATATCATATTAAATATTAATTTGTACTTCACGTGACTACTGAATCAAGGGAGCCCACTGAATAAGCTCTCACCTTGGTACTATCTTAAATCACATTAAATATTAGTACTTGATTAGTTATTACCATACTGAAAATATAGATAGATAGTCCTGCTTCATAAACTATCATGGCGGGTCCAGATACTAGCTCAGGCCAAATCCAATGTTTTAACGTTTCCCTACCCTGAAGCCCGAGTTTGAAGGAACTCTTCAGATCTCAACTCATTTCACGGAAATTTTGGTATCATCCAAAATTTTAATAATCTATTAATGACTAATCATTACAAAAAATTAAGTACATAATTTATACACTTGACACGAAGTAAACCCACTTGTTGTATCATGTGACAAGTAGGGTTCACTTTAGGATTTTGAGTCATTAAAACTTTTGGAACCCAGGCCCATGGTCTCAAGGGCTTGGTCGACGCCCGGAAATTTTCAGGCATGACTCGAACGCCAAGCCCAAGTCGAGCCCACATAATTTATACACTTGACATGAAGTAAACCCACTTGTTGTATCATGTGACAAGTAGGGTTCACTTTAGGATTTTGAGTCGTTAAAACTTTTGGAACCCAGGCCCATGGTCTCAAGGGCTTGGTCAACGCCCGGAAATTTTCAGGCATGACTCGAACGCCAAGCCCAAGTCGAGCCCATGGTCTCAAATTCTTGTGATGCCAAACCCAAGTCTAAAGGAACCCTTTGCATCTCAATCCATATTGCATTGCATTGCATGCTTTCTTAGGTTGTAAAAATTTTTAATAATCTACTAATAAAGAAATATTACAAAAAATATATAGTTTATTGTAAATACATGATGTCATTCACCATGCTTTATAGGTCCATAGTATCATGCTACTTTAACCTAATTCATCTTTTTTCAATACCTTTACTTAAAGTCTCCAACAACCATTAAACACATAACCATCAACCTTCATGATGTAGAAATCAACCAACTCTGTCCTTCAAAAGTCTTGGGGAAGTAATAGTGAAGTATTTATCATCTACTTTTCAACACATAATAAAATGTTGGTAGGATTTCTAGAAACTCAATAAATTTCACAAGTAACCACAATGAAAACTATAGACCCCATTTGCATAGAGAATGGAGGATAATAGATATCTATAGGTTACAAAAATTAAAATTTGAAGGGCTTGTTTGGTTTATCACTAAGAAAACAATTTTATGTTTTAAGAGAACTAACTTCCATACTCAGAAAGGCACCAAAAGAAAGAGAGCCAAGAGAACCTAAACAGAGAATCCTTGAGAGAGGTACCGAAAACGAAATATTTGAATGAGCAGCAAGGCGTCAACGAGAACAGTATGAGATATTTTCAGTAGAGGGAGAATTTATTTTTCTTTGTAGAATGAAATGGAGCTAGCTTGATGCCTTGTTTTCCAACACTCTCGGACGTATTTATATGCAAGGTTGGCGTCGATTGGGCTGGACATTTTATCGAACAACTTTCCTGTACAATTTACTGTCCAAGCTTGGCATTGATTGTACAGACATTTTTATCAAACAACTTTCCTGTACATTTTACCGTCCATTTATTACACTCAGAGAAACAAACCTTCTATTATACTTTCATTTTGACCCTTTGTATCACTGACCTGACTCGCGTTCTCAATTTCATTGGACTGCTTGTGGCTCACGCAGTGTACAAGCCGGATATAATACAACACTTGTACTTTGTTGTGAGTAGACTCACAAATATTTTCCAATACTTCATGGATTATATCTTTTCTCGATTGTGATTTGGTTGAATGAAGTTACAGTCCTTTGATTATTAGTGATTACTTTCTGCTAGTATATTGCTAGTGGCATCATAATTGTTGTTTTGATTAAAATTTATTTCCTCCCCTTGGGTAGAAATTTACATCTTTTGGATTTCTTGATATCTCCACTTTTTTGTATGCTTTGCTCAACTGCTCTCTCTTGGGTTGTTGGCTAGTTTTCTAAACAGTGGAGAAAAGTCAAAAGATTGAATAGATAATCTTAAAATCATGGAAGCAATGCAATTAGTACTTCCACCGCTAATTGAGTATACACAATACAACAATGTATATTATAAATGGGAGATTTATTCCAACCAATCAGTATTAAATGTCAAGTGTGGCGGTGTTGTCCAATTGGTAAAGTTTCAAGGCAGGGGTACCCATTAGGATTTTTTTTCTTTTCTTTTTCATATTTTAAATTTAAAATAGACATGTATTATTTTATTATTGCATCACATCAGTGATAAGGAGAAGTTCTCATACACTCATAAATAGATAGGTATTGTTTGTAACAGCTGCTTGAGTAGCCTGGGGTATGAAATGGGTCGCTGCATGTGTCTTTTGATAGTCTAATATGAAATGGGGCGCCGCACGTGTTATTTGATAGTCCGGTGTTGCATTTTGATTTAGTTGTGTGAGCTTTACATTTTCTTTTTGGTAGTTGCGTGCTTATTTCTTGTCATATAATCCTCCATCGCTCAACAGCGCACAGAGTAACCATGGAGGACACCATTGTTCTATATCCTTCTCTGGGTATCGACCACCTGGTCTCCATGGTGGAGCTGGGAAATCTTATACTCAGCCACCACCCTTCCTTCTCCATCCAAATCCTCGTT